GGAGGAGGCCTAATCTATGCGATCTAATAGGTCGCAGGGAGGTAATTGGCAGGAGGCGGTCTCTTTATTGATTAAAGATGAGGAGGGGAACAGGCATAGATCCTAATACACTGCCCCCAACTTCCACAAAATGCCATTTAGAAGGGTTATCATAAACAAAACTCAAGATTTCAATGCACATAAAACCAAAGAGTTGACTGCACGACTGTGGATACCATCTTGACATTTTTGACCACATGCTGCAGACACCTTCAATCCTTAAAGAAAGCCTCTTTAATGAAAAGAAGGACTAGGGGTGACATGATAGCAGTGTCCAAATATCTAAGAGTCTCACACAAAGCAGGTCAACTTTTCTCCTGAAGGCAGAACAAGAAAGGGAATTAATCAAGGGGAGAAGCAATCTAGAACTGAAGAGAAATTTCCTGACAGAACAATTAACCAGTGGAATTGTGGGTGCCCCAACACTGGATGTGTTTAAGAAGAGATTGGACAACCATTTGTTCAGAATGGTATAAGGTTTCCTGCTTGAGCAGAGGTTGGACTAAAAATCCTCCAAAGTCCTTTCCAACTATTTTTTTTATAAAAATTTTATTTTTTACCATATAAACATTTCATCTTTCCTTAAACAGTTATCGTCTGAATACAAATATCTCTGTGCAACAGCTTTCAGCATTTACAACATCATTAATATTAATTCTCTAATCTTAAAATTGTAGTATATTAAGACAATTGAACATTATTAACCTATTCATTTTCTTAACATATCTTATAATAAAAATACAATAACGTTAAGCATAATTATCTTCCTCATCATACTAACAATTATCATCTTGTTTATACCTCTATCTTAACATATTTTCTATTCTTTAGTCTTCTTCCCTTATTTCCAATTTCCCTTTTCCCCTCTAATCATTGATAAAATAATTCCCATATCATATAATATTCAGTTTGTTCTTTCTCTTTAATTATTACTGTTAATCTATTCATTTCTGCACATTCTAATATTTTCCTGATCACCTTCTAATCACTAGGAATCTCTTAACTTTTCCAATGTTGTGCAAATACAATTCTAGCTGCAATTAATACATGGATAATTAAATAGGTATTCTCTTTATTATAAGTTTCAGGTAAATCCCCAGCAAAAATATTTCTGGCTTTAACTCAATGTGTTTTTTTATCTCTTTCTTCAACCATGTCTTTATTTTTGTCAAATATTTTTTTGCTTCTACACATGTCCACCACATATGATAGTAAGATACAGATATCTGTATCTTACTATCCAACATTTAGCTGACTTGTCTTTAAACATCTTTGCCAGTCTCACTAGTGCCAGGTGCCATCTGTAAAACATCTTATACCGATTCTCTTTATATGCAGTTGACATTGTTAATTTATAATTCCTTTCCTACAGTTTCTGCTATTAATCTAATTCTATCATATAATCAAAAATTTTCACCCATGCTATCAGTCTCTTTTACTTGTTCCTCTTCCAACTCAATAAGTAACTATACAATTTCTTTATCAATCTTTCTTCTTTTCCTGTTAATATTTTATCCATGTAATTTAGCATCTTTCTCATATCTAGACTATATCTGCACTTGTGAGTACTATGTTATATCGATCCCTTTCTAACACATTTCTTGTTTAGTTTTGAACTCCCCCTTTTCACTCAAAATGTCTTTACATCTAACAATATTTTCCATATTAATGACATTTGGCTGAATCAGTGCTTCCATTGTTGAAAGCCAAACTGACTTTCCTCAAATAATGTTGGTCTTTGAATTTCTTCTATACTAATATCTTGACTTTTTGACCACATGCTGCAGACACTTTCAATCCTTTAAGAAAGTCCCTTTAATGAAAATAAGGACTAGGGGTGACAAGATAGCAGTATCCAAATATCTGCCACAAAGAAGAGGAGGGTCAACTTTTCTCCTGAAGGGAGAACAAGAAACATGGATGGGAACTAATCAAGGAGAGAAGCAATCTAGAACTGAGGAGAAATTTCCTTACAGAACCAGTGGAATGACTGATCTCCAAAAATTGTGGGTGCGCTGGGTGTTTAGGAAGAGATTGGACAACCATTTGTCCAGAATGGTATAAGGTTTCCTGCTTGAGCAGAGGTTGAGCAGGGAACTAGAAATCCTCCAAAGTCTCTTCCAACTCGGTTATTCTGGCTCAATGTGGAAGGGCTGCAGAGAAGGGCAGCAAGGAGAAATGGGGTTCTAGAATTGAGACTGCAGGATCAGGAAAGTTCAGCCAGAAGCTGTCAAGTGGAAGTGCTCTCAAGTGGAGGTGCTGCAGCTCCTTCCAGCTTTCTCCCAAGGGGTCCTCCAGAGCAGGCCTCTCCTCTTTCCAGAATGCAAGATAGGATGTTATGGAGGCTGGTCAGCTGTCAACCTGGCAACATGGGGGGTGGGGAGGGCAGTCCTTTGCGTTGGACACCTCTGCCAAAAACTCAGCTTTGAACAGCATCAACCCTTTAATAGGTGCCTGTGGGGAGTTTGAAATAGAAAGCAAGCATGGGGTCCAGCAGGGGTGTCCAGCCGTGGCAACTTTAAGGCTGGTGTTCAACCCTCAGAGTTTCCCCGCCAACTTTGCTTAAGGTTGCCAAAGTCGGACTCCCGCGCTGTGCCAGCTGCTCCCTCCCCAGAGAAAAAGCAGGACCGGAAAGTCCAGGGGAGCCGGGGCCGCCTGTCTCCTGTCGGGTGACCGGGTCTGACGCCTCGCTCCTTTATCCCTCAGGTTCTTGATCGGGGACAGGAAGACGCGCTTCTTCCTCAAGTGAGGCGCCCTGCCAGAACCACCGCTCCGCCTTCCCGCGTGACCCCAGGCAGCCGCAGCCACACTGGCCCGGGAAGAGACTGGCAGAAGCGGGGCTCCGCCAAGCGCTCATTTTTGCCCCTTCAAAACCGAGCGACGAGATTTTTCTTTTTCACGGTTGCAGATGCAGGGAATTCTGCCCCCCCCCCTTTTTGAAACGATGCCTCGAATAAGACAGACGAGGGCGAAGAAACGGCCGTCCCGGCAGATCCACGGCCCACAGCGAGGAAGCCGGAGGAGCTTCGGGCGAAGCGGCCCTGGGCAGCTCCGGCTCGAGCAGCGGCCAGCAAACCAGGCCCGGCGCTTGCAGGGCGCTCCCCCGGCACTTCGCCAGGCCCCTGCGCAGCCCAGTCGAGGAAGCCGCCCCTCGGCTCGGCATCTCCGGGGGCGGCGCCTCCGCGCAGCCCCGCAGCCATCGGGGTGCACACGGGCGCAGCGCTTCTTCCGACCGGATCCCGTCTGCGGAAGGGCTGCTTAGATGGACCGGTCTCTCGGAGCACCTGGGCCGGGCTCGGAGATGCCAGCCGCTCCCGTCGGCTCTCCCCAGCCCCAGAGAGTGGCCATTCCCCACCTCCACACACCCCCGTGGGCCTGAAGCTCCTCCGCGCATCGCCCCTCCGCCCTCGAGCGGGCCGCTGCCCCCAGGCGCTTCCCAGCCCTCGAGAGGCGCCCCGCCGGGTTTAGCCCAAGATGCCCCCCAAACTACCGCTCTGGTCTCGGGCCTTGCAGGGACCTCCCCTCCCAGCCGCTTCCGAGGCCCGCAACCCCTTCTCCCGTCCAAAAACCCGGGACGGGGCGCAATTCTCTCACCACCACCCCCCGGCTTTCCCGGTTTTCTCGCTCCCGCCCCGAGAGCGAGCTTTCCTCGTCCTTTAAGCCGGGCTACGCGGCGGGGGGCTCCGGCCGCGGTGGGCTTCCACCGGCAATCGCCCTGCCCGAAGGAGCTGTTGCTGCGCTTTGCCTTGCGGGATCGGCAAAAGCCTGGATCCCGAGATGCACGCAGCCCTTGGGGCTCTTTCGGTTTACGATCCGACTCCAAGCAAAGGCCGCGGCGCTCTGTGGCCGGTTTAGCGGATTGCCTTGCTGGGTCTTTTCTTGCCGCTCCGCCAAGGACTGAGCCGGTGATTGTACAAACCTGAACGTGGAACTGGAGGCAGACAATGGGGACACGTCCTGTCCCTGCACACCAGCAAGGAGGGATTGTAGAAATTGGGGTGAAATGTTGAGCCTCAAATTAGCTCCTGCCTGCGATGGATGGCTGTCTTACTATCCGCCTATTACGGAAGCACCGGTTGCCCAACCATTGTCTATTGAATTAGCCACCGATTGTTGGGTTGAACCATTGTGTTGTTTGTTTGGTTTGGGATTCAGATTGGTTTGGGGTCCCCCCCCCATTGTTCAACTCATCCTCCCCCAAGCAGATCTGCAGTTGTGCCAGTCTGGAAATGCTAGCACGGCTTGCTAAACCCTGAGCCTGAGTTCACAAACCACTAGAATAAAGTGAAAACCCAGAAAAGGAGAGGAATGTAGTGGCCCTTAATGTGGTCTGCTTATTTTGATGTTTTTCCTGGAGTAGGAAAGCAGCTGTGGGTGGCTGGTTAAGCACAGTTTGTGGTTTAGCATGTCTGAGCAGTTCCAAGCCACCAGGGTTGCTGACATCTGGATGAACATTTTCCACATTGCTTGGCTGCCACCTGGGACTTTGTCCTATCACCCCTCCCCCCATTTCAGGACTTGAAAACGACCCTGATGTTGGGAGCCCAGCTGTGATGGGAGCCCTCGTGGGGGTGGGGCTGCAGATAAGCTGAAGCATCTCAGCGCTCCCAAGTAACAGATCATTGCAGCAGTGATGGATGGGAGCCCTTCAGTTGCTTCCCAGCATCTTCGAAGTTCACATTGTTTCATCTGCAGTTGGGGAAACTTACTGAACTGCAGCTAATTGTTTGTTCTCTGAGCTTTTTCAATCAATCAACAAAGCAGGAGGAGCCCTCTTATTAATGCAATGAGAATAAGGTGACTCTTATCTTAAGACCTGCCCTTATCTGTAACATGGCATATAATCACCTAAGGGAAGTGTTGTTGAGCTGCAGTAGGAAGCAATCAACTTTTATCTCTGCTGCCTAATACAGATGTTTATTTAATAAGTGGTGCTAAAATGTCAGTTGCTGGATTGAAGCTGCTGGTGCGTAGCCACAGAAGACAACCTACCTGCGTGGGGGAGGGGGGACAAGAGGGGGGTGGGTTCTACTGTTGTTTCTTGCAGTGCAAGGGAGGAAACAGAACTTGTAAGAAGGAGGCTGCTGGCGGAAAGAAGGTTCTAGAACCGAGGAAAAGGCTTACCAACTCAGCTTACAGTTTTGTAAACAGATGCTTCATTTTTATGTTCTGGAAGTATTCATCAAGAATTCTTTGTTGCTGAACAGCATGAAGGATAACAGAAAAAAGGCACAAACTCTCTGAATTGTTTTTTAAGAGTGTTCCATGACTGAGAAGTGTGCAAGAGAGAGCAAAGGGAGAGGGGGAGAAAGAGAGAATCCTTAGCAAGCACAAGGAAGTTCATTGACACATTTTGATGGAAAGGAAGAATGCTTGTTTGGAGCATTGGGTTGTGGGAACTGACACACACTGGTTTGCAAAAGAAGATTGGTGGCTTTCAGTAGAAGTCAAACACAACTCAGTGTGGTTTGTCCACTAAATCACGATAAAACAAACTCTGCCTTAATGTAAGTGATTTATTTGTAAGGCTTGTTGAGGGAGAGAAAGCCAGTTTTGGAATCATTGGCTACATAAAAGGTAAAGGAGTCCCTCCAGATTTTACTCTGCTAGTCCCTGCTGACTCTAGGGGGCGCTGCTCATCTCTGTTTCAAGACCACGGAGCCAACATTTTTTGAAGGCATTTCCACCATCATGTGGCCAGCATGATGTCACGGTGTGCTGTTATCTTCCCACCATAGTGGTACCCATTTATCTACTCTCATTTGCATACTTTCGAGTTGCTAGGTTGGCAGGTGCTGAAGTGAGGATGGGAACTCACCCAGTTGAGTGGCACTTGGGTCTTGAATCTAGGCTGCTGGCTTTCCAGCTGACAAGCCCAGCATCTTAACCATTGAGCCACCACACCACCCCCATCTGCATAATATGCTGGGCTAAAAACTCTGGCCACCATCTCCACCTTCCCTCCATGCCCAGCATTGCAACTTCACCCAAACAGCAGACTTATCTTGGTTTGGGGGCTCCAGAGACTGTCCCAAAGGCTTGCTAAAAAGTCCAAGTCCTTGCTTTGGGATGCTGAAAGAAATGCAGCTTCAGACAACCGGCATAGCTCCACGAAGGACGCAGAGTTGAAAGGTTGCTGCAGAGAGCTGCTTAGCGGAAGGCATTGAATGCCTGGGTCTGCTGCGGTGGGAGAAGATGGGCCTTCAGCTCCTGAGTGATTTAGAGTTTAAAGCCATTCTTGAGTTGGGGTTGGAGGGCCCTGGCAGAAATAGGGGGCCTGGTCCTCCCTAGAGCTGAAGGTGTAAAACTGTCAGTTCTCCCACATCGCAGCCCACACCCTTAGTTGAGACCCTAACTCCAGTCTAGCAGCACTGGTCACAAGACGGGTCCCCATTTCTTCAATCTTGTCCTTCCCTTCTTTTGTCTGTTTACACACCACAGCTGAGGGAGATCCCACAGGGAGGAGCTTCACTTGAGGGTTTTTTGGGTCTGCATCTTCAAAGCATTGCCATGGCAACCCATCTTGCCAGCATCTTCCTACAGCCTGTCCTCATTATTAGGAAGGGTTATCCCATTTTTCTCCCCCTGTGTCTCAAACAATTTTTGCTTTCTTGGAAGGAGATCCAAATTAGAATTGTCCTTGCAAATCATTACATAAAAACAAGGAAGCCGTGGGAGACATCAAGGGTTCCACAGCCCACTAAGCAACAATTCTGCATCTGCAACTTGATCTCCCCTGGGAGACTGGAGTACCTGCCAGCGCTCTTAAATGCTCTTTTCATCTTGCCCAAACTATGTTTATCCATCAACCTGGAGACGCAAAGAGCTGAAACGGCAAGAGGAGCATTGCGGTTAAAAAGGAAATTGTCGCCCATGCCTGAATGAATGAAAAAGAAAAGACAACTCTGATCCCCAGAAGAAAAGAAAGACAGCCAGGAATATGTCAGGTTCTTTCAGGTAGCAATTGGTGTTTAGAGCTTTTAGCAGGTGACCTTGGCTCTCCATTAGCTTCAGGAAGGGCGGCTCTGCCTCAGCTTGAAAGGCAACCAGCCAGCCCAAATGCGGTGTGGCTCACTGTACCAGGGAAACCTATAAAATGGACTTATAGTTCAGTAAAATGACCAGGAGTGAGTATGTCCTTCTTGCCTCCAAATGTTGTGGCTGTTCCAACACTGGAGGTTTTTAAGAAACAACTGCTTGTCTGGAATGATATAGGGTCTCCTACTTGAGCAGGGGGTTGGTCTAGAGGACCTCCAAGGTCCCTTCCAGCTCTGTTATTCTGTTAAGTGGCACCAGGAAAGGTGTCCTGCAGGCAAAGAAGGGGGTCCCTGAGAATGCTTCTTGTCAAGGGTGAAATGCTACCAATTTGGACTGGTTCGCCTGAACCGCTAGTGAAAAATACTAAAAAAAGTTTTAAAAAAAGTTCTGACGATCGCATGTCGCATAGCCAAAAACGGAGGGATGGGGCTTTGTTTCTGCTCCCAGCAGGCTTCCCTTAAGTGTGCTAAAAATGGGTCGGGTGGGGAATGCTGAAAAGAAAGAGAGACAGAGAAGGGAGAAAGAAAGAAAAAGAAAGAAAGGGAGGGAGGGAGGGAGGGAAGTATAAAGCAGAGGAAGGAAGGACTACAAAACTGGCACTAGATGCAGCGTCAGAGGATAATCCAGGGCTGGAAGGGATCTGGAGGTCATCTAGTCCAACCCTGCTCCAGCAGAACATGGTTAAAGTGTGTTTCTGTCTTTTGATCCCCCAGTTACATGACAACATAGCCATGCCCACTCAGTCACGTGACCCCACCAAGCCACATCCACCAAGCCATGCCCACAGAACCGGTAGTAAAAAAATGTAGATTTCACTCCTGCTTCTTCTTTTTTTTTTACATAGAAAGTTTTTATTTTCTATTTTCATAGCATATAATCACATGTATACTCTTATATAGTCAATATCATGTTGTATTATTAAGTAATTACATCAATTCATCTTACTATCAACTACCAAATAAAAAAAAAGAAAAACCCAGTTATTGGCTCTTCTACTCTCCATACACCATATTTATACCTTATCCGACTCCTTCTTCCCCCTCTCTCCTCCCCCTTTCTACATC